AATACCTGGAGACACAAATAACAAAACACTGAAACTAACATGTCTGTGAAACCATAAATGTTAGTTTTTGTTTAATAGTTTTTAGGGAACTTCAATAAATACCTGGAGACACAAATAACAAAACACTGAAACTAACATGTCTGTGAAACCATAAATGTTAGTTTTTGTTTAATAGTTTTTAGGGAACTTCAATAAATACCTGTAGACACAAATAACAAAACACTGAAAACTAACATGTCTGTGAAAACATAAATGTTAGTTTTTGTTTAATAGTTTTTAGAGAACTTCAATAAATACCTGTAGACACAAATAACAAAACACTGAAAACTAACACGTCTGAAAAAAGCATAAATGTTAGTTTTTTATTTAATAGTTTTTAGAGAACTTCAATAAATACCTGGAGACACAAATAACAAAACACTGAAAACTAACAAGTCTGTGAATTCATAAATGTTAGTTTTTTGTTTAATAGTTTTTAGGGAACTTTAATAAATACCTGGAGACACCAATGCTGGAAGTTGATAGCACAGGCTTTTGCCTCCACCTGTTGGCATAATAAGAATACAATCCTGGCCACTCAATGTCGCATTCACTGCCTCCAGCTGTAATGGCCGAAAAGTTTTGAGCTTGAAGACATCATGCATTGTCAGTTCCAATTTTCTGGACCATGGATGATCTCAAAATAAACAAAAGGATAAAAGCTATTAATGTCATCACTGAAACCTAAACTATCATGATAAAAAATTACACTTTCCTAAATAATATATTTTTTAGCTTATTCACTAGTAATATAACAGAATCTAGTTTATATACTAATATAATATAACAGAATCCAGCTTACATACTAATATAATATAACAGAATCTAGCTTATATACTAATATAATATAACAGAATCTAGCTTATTCACTAGTAATATAACAGAATCTAGCTTATATACTAATATAACAGAATCTAGCTTATTCACTAGTAATATAACAGAATCTAGCTTATTCACTGGTAATATAACAGAATCTAGCTTATTCACTGGTAATATAACAGAATCTAGCTTATTCACTATTATATAGTGAACTAAACACAGGTTAGTTGTAATACTGGTACACTGTATCAACAGTGTAGATTCTGTTATATTACCAGTGAATAAGCTAGATTCTGTTATATTACCAGTGAATAAGCTAGATTCTGTTATATTACCAGTAAATAAGCTAGATTCTGTTATATTACTAGTGAATAAGCTAGATTCTGTTATATTATATTAGTATATAAGCTAGATTCTGTTATATTACTAGTGAATAAGCTAGATTCTGTTATATTACTAGTGAATAAGCTAGATTCTGTTATATTACAAGTGAATAAGCTAGATTCTGTTATATTACCAACTTAATGTTGATACAGTGTACCAGTATTACAACTAACCTGTATGTTTCCAGTCAATGTTGGCTAACTCTGCAGATGCTTCCTGTTCCAGCTGAAGCTTTAATTGGTTTCTTTTTTCTTTCAAAGTTTTCTGTTTATCAAGCAACCATTGAACCTCTTGGTTTATTTTAAATATTTCTTTTTCCACAGCAGCAAGCTGCTCTTTTACTATAGAAAAATCAAACAACAAAT